CAGGCTAGAAATCTTTGTGATGGAGATATTTTTTGAAGACCTAAGACTTCAGGCTTGGAATCATGCAACAGGAATTTCTTTAGAAGATTGAACTCGGTACAAAGCATGATACAGAGTAGGGGGCATATTCAGATGTATTTAAAGGCAAAGTAGGTAGAGAAGTCAGAACCTCCCAGGTACACCTACCTGCCTTCCACACCCCACCAGAATACCCAGCCTCCCCTCACTGACCCTTCTCTGCCCTGCTTCAGAGTCCTCATCTCAGACTCAGGCATAGAGAATCCCTGAAACAGAGGGTGTGGAAAACTCACCTCTTCTTCCATTCCCCACAAAAAAAAAAAAAAAAAAAACACGTTAATCTCCAAGGTGAGTTCTAGAGCTGATGCCAGAACTGGGAAAATCACAGACTCCAAGAGAGCATCTGGGATTGGAGCCAAAATCTTGAAAAGAAATTGTGGCTAAGGAGGAGGGAGAGGTGTTGCCGGAAAAGATGGAGAACAGGTCCTGGATTCAGGACAGGTTCCCAGTCACAGATTTCCACTGAGTGCACAGACCCTGCCTGTGTGTGCAGTCTGCCTATTTGAAGCTGCTGTTTCCAGCTCCTCTGGACTCTCCAAGAGGAGGAGATCATGCATTGAATTAGGGATCTTAGAAACATAGAGAAGAGCATTGTCTGATAAGAGATCTGCATATGAAACTACATTAAGTGGGCCATCCTGCTATAGGAATCCAAGCAGGGAAGTAAAGACACATATCAACACTCCAGGGTTATACCCACACATTTACAGACCACTGCCACTTTTGAGACAACATCTTTCTATGTATTCCATGCTGCCATCAAACTTGTGTGTAGTCTAGGCTGAGAAGGACTGACAATACTACCCCTGCAGCCTCTTAGGCACTGGGATTATTGATATATGTACCATCCCTGGATTTCTGGAGAACTGATACTTGACAAATATGCAAAGGCAATTTGGTGTAGAAAGGATGTTCTTTAAGCAAAGAATGCTGGGGCAAGTGTATATCCATATCCTACAAATATAAATTAGGACCTACATTGTATCATGTGCAAAAACAATCCAAAATTGACAGGAAAAAGCAGAAGGCCTGGAGCTGGAGTTTCAGGCACCTGTGAACCACCTGACATGCTAGATGTGAACAAAATTGTGTCCTCTGCAAGAACATTTGTTCTCTTAACTTCTCAGCCATCTTTCTAGGCTTGAGTAAAAGAATTTTCAAGTGGAGATTTCATGTTGATGAACTCAATAAAAGCTCTCCTATTATATGTAAATTTAGGCCTAGGTGTAATAACTTTCTTTACATTGGCATATGAAGTTGAAGAAAGAGCTTGGACATAATTAGATCCTTCAAAATATATCTTTGTTTCCCATCTGGAACTTTAGTCTAAACTACTAGATATATATTGAATTATCTCAGATGAATAATTCTAGGTAAGTAAAATAAGGAAAAAAATGTGTTTATAGTCAATAAGCTTCAGAGATTATTAGGTGGAAAGAGAGTTTGTAAAACGTGGATTGTTGCAAATTACAGAATGAATACTTCGCTTTCTTTTTTCTAGTGTATTTTCTTTCTTTTTGGGTTTTTGTTTTGTTGTTTTTCGAGACAGGGTTTCTGTGTGTAGCTTTGGAGCCTATCCTGGCACTCACTCTGGAAACCAGGCTGGTCTAGAACTCACAGAGATCGACCTGCCTCTGCCTCCCGAGTGCTGGGATTAAAGGCGTTAGCCATCAATTCCTAGTGTATTTTGTTTTTTTTTATTAGAAAGAAAATTATTTTACATGTCAATCCCAGGTCCCTCCCATCCCCTTCTCTTCTGTCCCCCAATTAACACACTACCTATACCATACCCTTTCTGCTCCCCAGGGAGGGTGAGGACTTTCATAGGGGGTGTTCAAAGTCTGTCATATTCTTTGGCCTAGGAAAACCCCCTTGTGTCTAGGCTCAGGGAGTATCCCTCTATATGGGATGGGCTCCCAAAGTCCATTCCTATGCTAGGGATAAGTACTGATCCACAACATGATGCCCCATACATTTCCAAGTTTTCCTCATTGACACCCACATTCAGGGGGTCTGGATCAGTTCCATGCTGGATTCCCAGCTATCAGTCTGGGGACAAAGAACTGTCATTTGGTCAGGACAGCGGTTTCTTTGTGTTTCTCCAGGGTGGTATGGACCCCTTTGCTCAACAGTCGTCCTTCTCTGCAACTGGATTTCAACTCAGTTCAAGGTATAGCTGTTGGTGTCTCCTTCTGCTTCCACCAGATGCCAGATGAAGGCTATACTATGGCATATGAATTATTCTTCAATCTCATTATCAGGAGAGGGAATTTAAGGTAGCCTCTCCTCTGTTGCTTAGATTGTTAGTTACTGCCATCTTTGTATCTCTCCAGACATTTTCCTAGTGCCTGATTTCTCTTTAAACCTATAATGGCTCCCTCTATTCTAGTATCTCTTACCTTGCTCTCCTGTATTCTTCACCCAACTCAACCTCCCTGACCCATCCTGCCTTCCTCATACCTCTTCTTCTCCCCTTCTCACTCTCCTAATTACCTCTACGCTCTCCCCATACTCCCAATTTGCTCAGTAGATCTTGTTCCTTTCCCCTTCCTCAGAGGAACATGTATGTCTCTCTTAGGGTTCTCCTTGTTTACAAGCCTCTCCTGAAGCTGGAGTGCAGGCTGGCAATCCTTTACACTAAGTCTAAAATCCAAGTATGAGTGAGTACATACCCGGCTTCTCTTTTTTGTGACTGGATTACCTCGGGAAGAATGGTTTCTTCTGTTTCCATCCATTTGCCTAATACTTGGGTTTTTAGGGTTATGCTGTCATATAGGGTAATGTGCTGATTTCAAAACTAAACAGTAAAGTTTACCTTTAACACAAAGTAAGAATATGAAAAATAAGTGTGTAAATGTCAAAGAGAACACACAGAAGAAAATTCATGTCATTGTGCCTGCGTGAAGATTAAACAGAAAAGACATCTAATAAAAACCATATCTGGCACAGGGAAATCACCTGGAATCAGAAAGAAATACCCCAACTATGAATGAAAGCACTCAGGATTTTGGTGGCTCACGACTTAGTCCTAGCACTCTGGACCCAGAGGCTGCCTGATCACTGGGAGTTCGAGACCAGACAGCTTAAGCACTGAGCCAAACATAATCCAGTTGGAAAGAGGAATCAGCAGCAATGCAATGCCTGACCTTACAAAGTCAGTCCTCCTAGGCCCCCAGCCAGACACCTGGGGAGCCAGAATAAGACTGTCCAGGCCCCCTGAACACAGCTGTCAGTTGGGGGCCTGGGCAGTCTTTTCCTGCCTCTGGAAGTACAACCAGAATTTTTGTCCTGTGGAGGCAGGAAACAATCTCAGTCTACACACACGGGGGAGGACACTCTCTCAGTCTACACACACGGGGGAGGACACTCTCTCAGTCTACACACACGGGGGAGGACACTCTCTCAGTCTACACACACGGGGGAGGACACTCTCTCAGTCTACACACACGGGGGAGGACACTCTCTCAGTCTACACACACGGGGGAGGACACTCTCTCAGTCTACACACACGGGGGAGGACACTCTCTCAGTCTACACACACGGGGGAGGAAACTCTCTCAGTCTACACACACGGGGGAGGAAACTCTCTCAGTCTACACACATGGGTGGAGGACACTCTCTCAGTCTACACACACAGGGGAGGACACTCTCTCAGTCTACACACACAGGGGAGGAAACTCTCTCAGTCTACACACTCGGGGGAGGATACTCAGTCTACACACACGGGGGGAGGACACTCTCTCAGTCTACACACACGAGGGAGGACACTCTCTCAGTCTAGACACACCAGGGAGGGACTAGGGATTGGTCCTGAACCTAATGATGTGACAGACATTGATGATGACACCTTATTGGAGGCCTAATGCTCTCTCAGGAATTGATGAGGGACTCGTGGGGGAGGGTTCTGTAAAGGATGAGTGCATTTGATAGTGTGAGTTGTATGTAATCTAAGATTCCTTTCATTTCAAATGAAAACTACTTAAAAAATAAAAGTATAACTGAATGCCCTGGGAAAGAGGGATACTTAAAATTTAAAATCGCCTGTGCTTCCAAATGCAAGGATGAGAACTGAAAAGATACAATTCCATGAGGTGGAAAGTTACACAAACGTATACCATAAATAATTCCCATGAAAAACATATAAAAGCACCCAAATTCAGTCAACAAACAGAAATTGAGAAATGTGAAAGACGTAGGTGAGCAGTTCAAGGGTCATTGATAGGTTTGGTTCTATTTATAAGCCATTCAATAGAAATTTTAATGACTTATGCAGAGGCATTCAGGACAGGGATTCTGAGGAGACATCAGGGTCACCAGGGAAGGTGGGAACCACAAAAAAGGAAATTAAAATCACCAACTGGTGACAAGCACACAGTGTCCCACACCTGTAATCCCTTCACAGGACAACTGAGGCAAGAGATTCATTGAGAGTTCCCAGCCAGGGTAGGACACAATGAAATGTTGTCTCAAAACCAAACTAACTCACAAACTACTAAGGAGGAACAATAATCCTTTAACCAACTGCATATTACAGAGGCATCTGAGGGTAATCACTGATTAGTCTTTAGACTTTCCTGCTTTATGTCCCTCAGATCCTGTGCGGGAGCAATCTGATCCCTTTTCAGGGAGCAGCAAGCTGGGATCAGAGAGAGCTCACTCTACTGTCTATCTCCCTGCTGCTCCCTCCCCCAGAACACTCCTCCTATGGCTCCAGCACAGCCAGGTCCAGACAGCACAGCACATACAGAGGTCCCTACTCTCTCTCCTTCAGGAATTCTCCTTTCCAGGACATCTCTTGGGAAGCCATTGAAAACGGTCGCCATAATGACCCCAGGTTTCTATGACAACCACATATGAGCTCACAAGTCTGGGACACCTTATGGAATATATACTAAAAAAGAAAAACATTAGAAGTGTCTCCTTGGAGATGCCGGGGATCGAACCCGGGACCTCAAATATGCGATATAAGCGCTCTACCACCTGAGCTACATCCCCATACAGTGATGGCCGTTGGTCAAAGCCTATATGAATAAGGAGAGAGTGAATCAGCATTTCTAGGGCTTTCAAGGAAATACATCAGGTCTTTTGACTGTATTATATGACTTCCAGTTTAATATCTTCATGAACTTTTTATGAAATTTATTGGATGAGAAAACAATCTATTTTCAATCAATGTAAGATAATGATAGTAATAAACGTCATCTTCTTCAAATCAAGCAGGCTAACTAAATATTATTTGGAATTACTCAGGCTCATCCATTTTAATTCATACTTAGTTTCTACTAGTTCAAAGGGAGATTATCCTGAGGGATTACTAATTATTTGCTGTTGACTAGCAATATTCTGTTATATCTAAGAGCTTGGGTCATCCTGATCATAAATCTATTCTCTTTTAGAACACGGCTTCTTTCAGAACTTGAAAAACATTTTTTTTTCTATTTAGGGCAGGCTTTTTCATCCTGTTCAAAATTTTCCCACACTATTTATCTCTTCATTTATTGTAACAACTTAAATTGAGCTAATTGTTATTAATATCTAATGTGCTATATTCACCCTCTTTGTGTTTAGTTATATCCCCATCTGCATTTTAAGTTTCTGAAAATGAATTTATATTGCAATATACCCCCTTCTACTCAAGAAATCTTCTATACCTCTCAACATACAACATCATAAAATACTTGTGTTATATATCATGAAAAGAGTGAAAGGAAATAGAACTAACCCGAGAAGATTCCACAGCATACAAAACTGCCCAGCTCTGCTGCCTTTCTCTCACAGCAAGAACACTTGACCCTTGTTATCACCCTAGAAAGAATATCCATTAAAGAATCTGCCAGCAGCAGGAAAGCTGAGCTTCCACATTTTGTTAGATCCAAGAACAAAACATGATTCTGTAGACATGATTAGTTTCTACTCACCAGACTACAGTGGTCTCCATGGAAACGTTGATAGACGAACATCTTTGTCAGGTGACAGATCAGCAATTTTATGCACTAATTAGGTATGGAAATTTGACCTCACAACAGGAAGTTAAAATCTGACACATCTTGTATGAATAGACCTGAAAAGTAAAGGGGGACACCGGGAATCGAACCCGGGACCTCATGCGTGCAAAGCAGGAGCTCTGCCAGTGAGCCACATCCCCACATGGTATAACAGGGGAATTAGAGCATATATGAAAGTAGGGAGACTGATCCAGCACTTGTAGGGTCTGAAAGGAACTGCATCGGGTCCTTTGAGTATATTTTATGGTTTCCCATTGAGTGTTTTAATTATAATTTTATGGCATTTCTTGGATGAGAAAACAATCTATTGTCATTCAAAGAATAATAATAATCATCATCATAATAACCTTTATATTCTCACTTGAATTCAAATTTAGGTTGTAGTATAAGTTTAACTTGACGGTATCATAATGGACTGCCTGAACACAGAGGGCCTAAAGCAGGTCATGTAATACCAAGCCTTCAATGAAGTGGTGACCTTCAGAGGCCCCTCCTCGTGCCTGTCGAATGTAGATGTCTACCTGGATGGACACCCTATCAACACTGTTGAGGGCAATGGAGAGGTCATCTCCACGCCATGGCCAGCACACCATATACAGCTGCAGCAGCTGGGACTTTCATGGTCCACACCAACGTGAAGGCCATCGGGGTCAAATCCATCTGCCCCTGGCTCTCATTCTGTCAGACGGAGATCCCCGCAGTGGTCTAGCTGAAGACTATGCTGTCACACTGCACGGCTGTCTTTTGATGGACAGAAGAGGCAGGAAATGTGCCATGGAGACAGCATCAGCATCACAACCTCCTGATACCAGCTGTCCTCTTTCTATGTTTGCACCCTGTGAAGGTCTGTATTGAGAACCTGACCCAGTGTCTGCACTGGAATGTTCCAAAGAAGCAAGCTCACTTCCCAGAGGATGAGGATCAGGACCAGGACGATGAAGACAGCTAGTCTCACTTCCCAGCGTCCAACCTGAGCCCTCAAGCCCTTGGGGGTCTTCCTTCTCTTACTCTACCCATGGCCTTTGGCTCAGCTGGCCATGTCAAACCACATGGCGCTTAAGGCATCTGTGTCCTGCCTGCCTTGATGGGAGAGCTTGGGTCTGCCTTCGGAAGAACACATCAACTTTTAATGTTTTAAACTTTTTCATTTATAGAGAAGAAAAATGAGAACTGGGCTGGGTGTCCTACATCTCTCTCATGGGCCCACTGAGTTCCCAGGTCAGGAATTCCCATAAATCAATCTGTTGAAATTCTGAGGGGGTTAAAATGGATTATCATCAGTTTGATAATGAAATTAATGTCTCAGCAAGAAATCTTCTTTTAGGTTCAGTGCTTTTCTTGAGAGCCTGGAGGGACTTGCCCCCTGCATCACTTGGGTTCACCTGGCAGTATGGCTATGCATTAGCAAGGCATGTGATGGGTAGCTGCCTCTGAGTCTGGCACAAGTTCTCTGACTCCTTCCAGAGAAGACAATGGCAACACCTTGCACAGCCATCTGACAACATCACATTCCTCCTGTAGCAAGGAAGCAGCTCCTGAGACAATTTAAATCCTGTGTACACTCTTTAGAGGTTCTTTTAAACTTTCTGAACTCATTGTGTACATATTTGAGTGTACATGGTTTGTGAAGATTTAGAGGGGACTGCCATTTTTTCAGTGTTTACAATGTGTCCAGCCCAATGCACAGACCAGGACAAGATGCGCAATACATCTTGCATTTTATGGATGGAAACTGCAAATTTTTCTCCAAAGCCTTCACTAAATAGCCAAGGAACATTAAAAAGCAAAACAAAAACAACAACAAAAAATCCCCAAAACAACAACAAAAACATTTAACCCAGATTGGTGGCATGTGCCTAAAATTCTTGCACTGATCAAATGGAGAAAGGTGTATCAGATCCATGAGAAAACAGTAAGGAGAGGAATATATTGATTGTTTTCTTTATATTGGACAATAGAAATGCAAACATACCAGAATATTACTAACAAAATAATTCCCAATTTAGCAACACTCTCTTGATGTGGGATGTGCTTCTGTGTATGTGTTTGTCTTATTGGGCATTAAATAAAGTACTGTTTGCAAATGAGGCAGCAAGTTAGGCTGTACTAGGAGTCAAGGAGGATTCTGAGAAATGTAGTATAGAAGTGGTGACTCAGGCAGGAAGTGACATAGCAGGAAGACTCATATATAAGCAAGGACAAGAAGGAAGTCTGCCTTTCTCTCTTCCTCCTGGTCTCTGCTATGGAGTATCAGCCAGCAACAGAGGGCACAGGCAAAAGGCGTCTTCATAAGATAAGTCTTATGATTATGTTTGATAATTAAGACTGAGATAGCAGGTGAGAAATCCTAATCATTGTCCAAGCATCATTTGTGCCTAACATAAATCTCTGTTTGTTACTTGGGAACTTAACGTGAGGCCGGGGTTATCTTGGGAAGCCTGGCAGAAAGTGCTGACTTGGCAGGGCAGAGCTCGGGTAGCTCATACAGATGGAGTAAAGACTTATTGTTACACTCTCTTTCTTACTTTTAGAATGATTCTTTTCCTACAGAGTTTAGGCCACGATGCTAGCATCTCTGATCCCTATTTTCATCATCCATAAAATGATTATTAGGTCCCATTAATGAGGCTTTGTGGATATGAAAGACTCCATTGAAAATTTTGGTGTTATTTTGATGAGGTTGCCTTTATATGAAACTCTGATTCTGATGAGGTTGCCTTTATATGTAACTCTGGCCAGCAAATTTGTAGCACTGTTACAGTTTGAAAGATCTAAAAGACTGTTTTTTTTTTTCACAATACCATTACAGGAAAATAATAGAAAAAAATGCATTTACTGTACCAACTCTTAATAATTCACAGCCAGTTAGGAGATATCAGTAGAGGGTTTTGCCACAAGGAATTCTAAATAGTCCTACTTTGTGTCAACACTTTGTACAGCAACCTTTGGAAATAATTCGTAAGAAATTTTTACAATCTCTTGTTTATCATTACATGGATGACATTCTTTTTTCAGATTCCAATAAGGAAACTTTGAAACATATGTTTGAAATGGTGAAGGAAGTTCTGTTGGGGGTTACAGATTGCCCCAGAAAAGATTCAAAGAGGAGATTCTATTAACTATTTAGGTTACGAGATAGATTTACAAAGAATCAAGCCACAGAAGGTACAAATTAGGAGAGATTGTTATCAAACTCTTAATTCTCTTTAGAAATTATTAGGAGAAATTTCTCAATTACAGACGATTATTGGGGTAGAAAGACATGACTTAAAGCATTTAGAAATGGCCCTTAAAGGAGATAAGGACATAAACAGTCCACGAATATTATCTTCGGAGGCAGAAAATGAGTTACAATGGGTAGAAAACAGAATGTTGGATGCACATGTAGATCGGATAAACCTTAATTTAGACTGTATTCTGGTTATCTTGCCATCCAGAGAATACCCTTCTGGGATTCTGATGCAGAGGGAAGACACCATATTGGAGTGCATATTTCTGCCACATAAACAGAATAAAAAGTTAAAGACATATATAGAAAAGATTTCTGATTTGATTTTAAAGGGTAAATTAAGACTTCGTCAACTGACTGGAAAAGATCCAGCAGAAATTATAGTACCTTTAACTAATGAAGAAATTTCCTCCTTGTGGAAGGATAATGAATATTGGCAAATAGCTCTTACTCAATTAGCAACAATTATCCCAAAACTGACAGAATTAAATTCATAAAAATAAAGTCTGGATGCTTCCACGTATTGTAAGACAAACTCCCATTTCTGGAGGTCTTACCTTCTACACTCATGCCAAAAAATCATGTAAGGCAGGTTATAATGCAGGTGAAGTACATAAAGCAGTTCAAAGATCATATACATCTGTAAAGAAGGAGGAATTATATGCAATTCTCATGGTATTTATGGATTTTACAGAAGCTCTTAATATAGCTACTGATTCCCAATATGCAGAGAGAGTCGTGTTACA